GTTTATCTTTACCATGTAAGACTTGAGGTTCTCACAGCGGTGAATATGAAGATTTCTGTCTTCTGGGTTATTGCGCTGTGTAGTCTGGTCGATGTTAACCAACGTTTCAGAGGTCATACTGCCTCCGTCATCAGGGCGATGAATATTCATCGCCCTGATGACGGAGGCAGTATGACCTCTGAAACGTTGGTTAACATCGACCAGACTACACAGCGCAACAACCCAGAAGACAGAAATCTTCAAACCTGAGAAGCTTTCAGTAGTGAAGATATTTCTGCTGTTGTATCACCAGCCATGTTGAATGCTTCAGATTATAAACATGAAACTAGGAACTAGATTTATTTTTTGCAAGCCTGTGACATTGACCGATATTTAAAAAAATAAAAATGAAATTGTAGTTATAGGTATATTGGAATCTTGAGTAAAACATCTCTGTTAGACATAATGTGAGCTTGCAAAATAGTATTTGTTGTTTGGTCATAGCTTCGTATGTCTTACATGTCTTTGAGTTTGTTAGGTCTGTTTGCCAAAGGAACGCTTATTGAATAATTAGGGCTAATCAGCGCATCATAATATTTATAGAAGAAGTACTTAATGTGTCTTTGTTATACGTACGTATAAGTTATTATTTTTCTTTCCCGCTGCACCGGTAGGTTTGTGCTTTGCTGTTATTAATTATTGTACTCTATTCCAAGTAATACAGAAGATTGTTTTCTTGGTTTGCGTCGTGATCTGTTGTCGGCTGTTGCGGCATAAACGGGTGGTTACATAAGTTGAACATCCATCGAACATATCTGAGTGGTTAGACGAGTGAGTTTCATTTCCAAATGAAGAACGGGCAAATTTGAATATCTGTTTTTTGTCTTAAGGGTATAAATTTGTACAATCATATTAAATTGAAATTATTTTCCAAAAGTCTGATTGAGAGAATGTACAACTCGCAATTACCAACTGACAAGAGTTATCGTACTTCATCTCATAAATTTCCTCACTATTTGTCTTTCTTTCTTTTTTCTGTTCTTATCACGCACAGTCATATTTTATAATTGAAACGTCGTTTTCAAGTCGATAGATATGAGTTGAAACAAGGCTGTAGTAAAAGCAACATTAGTTTTGTTTGGTTTTTTAAAAAAAGCTGGTGATTTTTTTCAGCAAATGGATGAACGTGTCAGTGGACATTTGTCAAAATCATCGTAACCATCACAGTTATCACAATCATCACGTGCGCATCGAAGCTGTTGTAACTCATTATATCTGATCATTTTGGTGTCTCTTTCTGAAATTTAAATGGTTACTTAATTGTTGTAATAAAACTCGCAGACATGTCAGTCATAAATAACTTTTAGTTTTATGATAATGCAGGCCTGTGGTAGCCTGTATAGCAGTCTCAGTGAGTTTTCGGTGATTTGCATAGCATTACGTCTCTTTTTTCGTCTTTTGTTATCATAAAACCTGTTGAAAAATATTAACGTGGAATAAGTGCATTTGAATTTATTTGGTGTTTTTTAAACACTAAAGAACTGACCTGGAATTCGGTGGCCCTAAAATTTACATCCGCGCCTTCATGTTACGTTAAAACTGGTTAACTAAGTCCGTAAGGTTCCAGACTACGGGCCGGACGATCGGGGTTCAAACCTCTGCGTCCAGACTGGCTTGTGACCGGCTACAAGGCGCGTAGCGGGATATATTTGCTTTACTTTACTTCGTGTTACGACTAGTTTTATTGTTGTGGTGTAACTTACGCAAAGTGTGTGGATTTTGAAGTAAAGTTGGATGGGGCTGATGGAAATATAATTTGTATTTGTGTATGTATATTATTTACGGATACTTATTGTTACATCCTAAGTTTAATGTTCTTCTTTGGTTTGCAAGGAATATCCAGATCCTTATCTTGGTAGATATATACTGTAGTTAAACGAATAATTAAGAAAATTTAATTATAAAAACGTAAACTGTTAAAAGCGGATTATTTTATCACTTTTGACTATTTAAATGTGATCATCTAAGCCGTTGCTAACATAAACAGCGCAGATTCATTTCAATTGACGTAACTTGCATCTCAGCGTCTCATTGCGATTCTTACGCCAATATTTTTTTACAAATATTCATGCTCTGCTCCCCGGAATTTATCAGATGTCCACTAAGCGGTGCCAGGTGTGAATACTGTTAATCAGTAATTAATGCAATTATATACAATTAAATTGTAGCTGTTGGTGCTTCTGTATATTCTGTATTGAAACATGGTACGCAAAGCAACAAATTAGTCATTCAAATGTTGCCTTAAAGGGGGGGTTTGTCCGCTTCACGGACATACTCGATCGAGTACCGCGGAATGTCCCGTGCCTGTGACGTCAGTTGCTGTTTAGATGGTGTTTTGTTTGTTCATTGCAGACACAGAATTTAATTTTCAATAACAGTGAAATGAAACAGATCGTACTGTCTCGAGTTTCCTGTTACGCGGTTACCGAATAGAATTTTAATCTGTATTATGCTTGTAAATACAGGTTCCGTATTTTAGTACAACAGACTGTAACTCAAATGCCATTACTTTCGCCTCATTCAGATAGTTCAACAGGATGTCCGAAACGTAGATCTGTGTAGTTTGTGATTTTCTGGGTTATTACGCCACCTCTAAAACGTCTATTACTCTTTACGTCAATAGTGTTTCTGGTTTAATTTATTTTAGTCGTAAGGCTCATTTCGGACACATTTCGGTAAAGTGTCCTGTGGTCCACGGTATCAAGCGACGAGGCATAGCTCGGTATTAGATTGAATTGAATGGTCAGTTTCAGACTCCGACCGCTTTACTCCTTGAGAAAGATATCGATATGTGAGGAACCTAGAAAGATCCTAGAGCCGTTCTTGACGTCCAAGTCAATAAGAGGCTGTGGAATATTAATCAGTTAAAATAGATTACATCTTACACATATAGTTTTTTTCCTGCATTGCATGTATTTGCCTGTTAGCTGCAAGATACAGCTTTTAGTATAGAGTAATATTTCGTTTCCTTGTTTATTTACAGATTCGGCAAGAGAAGCCGTATTACATAGCTGACCCCGAAGTGGATTCGCTTGTAAGTACTCTAGTCTTGATACAGCTTAATTGTTAAGCACAACTGCACTTAATACTGCGTTGCTTGTCCGTTTTCACGAAAGATTATTGGTCCATTCTCTACGAATGGTGTTAAGTTTCATACACAGTTTGAGATACAACGTCGTTTAATAAACTCTAAGTTTATAAAACATGTTAACGATACCAACTTGAAGTACTGGTTTCAAGTAACTTAAGGCTGCAGTGCAAGTGATTAATTTTGTGGAAATATGAATACAGGCTCACAACTACACTGAAATGAAATGAATAGCCCTTTTTCTGAGACAGTATTTTGTGCCGCGCTAACATTCCTCGTAGTTCAAAACACGACCTGTGTCGTGCACTAAATCACGTGCTTCAAGGCCACACTAAATTCGTAAAACGTTACAATACGAACAGCGGAGTCCAGACGATTTAAGGCGCTCAACATTATAGTCTTCAGCACAGCAATCCTGTAGGCCCACTGCTAACTCAGAGCCGCGCGATAAGGAAGGTGAAGTCCTTCCGTGGTCTTGAAGGATGCAGTTTTGTGACGGCTACAGATGAAGACTTTCGTATTGTTCCCGATCATGGTAGGCTACTTATCGATATGTTTATTCGTTGATATCGAAAATTGGTTACATTTATTGTTCTCTTAACTGAGTGAACTCACGCAAGAATAAATTATAATTAAGTATCAATATATCACCTGCTAAACTAATACACAATTCATTTGTCCCAGAACAGCTTGGCTGCTTAGTATTAAAATGTGAATGCAGTCTGTAGTTGAAAGTAGTTCATGTTACAGTTATCTTTATTCCGATCTTAAAGTTAGAACAGTAATATTTTAACAACGATGTGATATATTTATGGAAGAGACGGCATCAAACTAATGTGGTATTTATGCTGTCCGGTGTTTGAACCTCTGTCAGGATATTGCGTTATCTCTCCTTTAACTAACAAAAGAATCGAAAGCGAAGAAACAAAATTAAAATAAAATAAAATAAAATAAAAATATGTTATCTTGATTGGACTTTTTATCGTGTTTTGTGTAAGCCATATAGCGCAGCGTTGCATGTATAATGACGTCATAAAACTCATGGGTTTTATTTCCATATCTTAAGACCCTTGCAGGCTACTGTTCACACTTGTTGCCTTGTGGCTATCACTACGAATGGAGCTGTTGCAACTCTGCGACACTGCGTGGGTTGTAAAATGTCCCAACTATGTTTTATAACCTTTCCCATAGGCGACTTAATTCATTTCGTTATTTTATAACAATTCTGTTGGGATTAAGGCTTTTCGGGGTGTTAAAATGAAGGCTGCAGACTGTGAATTGCTTATATTCGTGATTAACACTACTAAGTAATGCAGCTAATCTGCATATTATTTTATGCATTTGTGAAGTTTGACTTTGCGTGATTCAAAGACGAGTGACGATATTACGAAACATTAACAATAATCCGTAATTGGCTGCCTTTATTATTTTATATGCATTTCCAAGACGGCGAATGTTTCAAAAATGACTATTGAAGGAGTGTAGTCTAGCTGGTATCGCCCTCTTTTATTGGCCTATCCTGAAGGTACTCCTTTCGAATTGTCACTGAAACCAACTGTTGCTGGTATTTTGACGGGCTTGTGGCTAGTGTGGAAAAACAAGGAATGTACACAACATTTTTGTGGGGAAAACTCTTGGAAACCGACCACATGGAAGAGTGAGACGGAGGTGGAAGAATATACCTGATTGCCGGATTACCGGAACTCGATTCCTCAATTCTTTTCTTATCGACGCAATATCTTCTTACTAACTGTGAGGACAATCCCGGTCTTCTGTCCAGAGGATACCAAATGATATTTTCCTGTGTTATGGTGAAATCATGAAGCTGACACCCACGTCCATCTTGTGCTGAGGATAAAAACGTATTTTTTTATCTTTATTCACAAACAGTTTATGAGCATTTAGAAGGTGTGAAAGGGGAAGGTGGGATAGTCCATATAAAAGAGGGGTGTCCGTGATTTATTGACGCTTTCCTCTCCCTGCACTACTGGGTGCAGTCTCCCCCTTGAACGGCCACCAGGTACCCTCCTCCTGGGACACCATCATCAGCTCATTACACAGTACAGCTCGTCAGCTGTTACATAAAGACTGCCAGTTGGTTGAGTGAAACACAACTGGTTAGTAAAAACATAAACTTTAGGTTGTTGGCTGTAGAAATAGCAGGGCTTTGCTGTTTCAAATGAATGGGTGGGGTACCGTCTCGTATTTATTACGGTCATGTAGGTGACGGTAAACAGTGAAAGTCATTTCAATTAATGTAATTATATGCAATAACTCAAATATGATTAAATGAAATTAACAGCGATTCCATTTTGTTGACGTCTCGCTAGTGGTCCCAATTTCTGACATCATTATTTATGTAGGTCATGCAGTTATTGTAACAAAATATTCCAGTTTGTCTTACCCTAAAATTACCATGAATGAATAATAAAGATAGTTAATGTTTAATTGGAATGGCTTATAATAACAGGTAGTTTAAAATTATAAATAAATCATCGTAGCTAATTGTAACAACTCCTGTGACCTCGCTATTACGAAAGTGTGTGGCTGTTATAGAAACCTGTAATGCAAGAGTAACTTGCTCACAGAGCTATAGAATTTTGAGACTTGAATCTGCGAAGGCGTCAGTTCATCTCCTTGGAACATGTAAAAAAGAAACCCTGTTAGTGACTGCATTGTCTGCCGGAAGTTCAAGTCGTTAGGTAGATTACCGCATTTTCAACACCGTAAAATAATCGTAGCATCTGCCGTTTATTCACTACGTACCAACATGTCTTTCTCATTAATTGTTCCGGGGCGTGATGCTGACCACTCACCCCATCTAGTGCCGAGGTTAAGAATGAGTAGGAGCTATACCAACTCCCCCCCAAGTGCCTTCATGGCGTATAGTGGGACAGCTTTACGTATTGATACATTGTTGTTTGTGCTAATTCAATTCACTTTATTTATTACTACTTCCTGAAAACGAATTATAAAATGTTACGAGTTCATACACGTTCCTGTGGCGCCTACCTTAGATATAAACGAGCCCTACGTGTAACTAATTCTTCACTTTTTATGTTCTCCGGTCCATACCTCTTATTCTCTCATTACTCTTTACACCATAGGGAGAAATGTATAAGTTTATAGACCAAGGGAAGCATATATGAATATTTTATTATACAGAATAGTAATAGATTAAGATAAGCCCACGAACGAACCCGTCTGCATCAGAAAGAGCACAGAATAAAACTCGCTAATTGTTTGCTAAATTTACAAAATGCATTCCGGTACGTCTTTAGTAATGTTCGTAGCACTAATTAAATCATTAAATTACTAATTAATATACTAAATAGTAGACACCTGAAACACTGTTGGTTTCATTTTCTGTTCAGTTTTACATTGTAGTCCATGTTTAATTAACTACATATCTGATAACGCTGATCGAACGTTATCTGCTTGTTGACTGCCACAGCATTTGTAACACTTAAATATAGCATTTTCTGATATTGATATGGTTTAAGAAGTGAAGCCTGGAATAAGGACATCTCTGTCTGTCTCTCTCTGCCACGTTTTGAAGATAAGTCTTAAATTATTATAGATCTCGAGCTGGATGAGAATAAAAAAATGAAGATTTCCGTCGAATGATATGGAACAGTTAATGGCAGTAATACGTTAATATATTTACATTCTTTTCTCCAGGCACTGCACACGTGTAGTATTTTTTCTGGTGGTAATAAATACAATTTATAAAAGAACCGTGTTTACAAGATCCCTCACTGGTCCCTTTTTTGAGCCATAGAATCCACTACATACCGTCATGTCCTGTTTCTCAAAGGGCAAATTAAAAAAAAATTGTCAATCCATCTTTGCCCAGGTTTTCCAAGTAGTCTCTTTTCTTCAAGCTTTCCGACCAACACTTTTATATGCTCGTATCATATATCTCTTGTGCATCCTTCAGCCAACAACAATCCAAACTTCCTCGATGTAATAATTCTTTAAATATGTGAAGAGTACAAATTAGTATGAATCTTCTCGTTATGCCCTAACCCCATTAAGCCTGCTTCATCCTCTCAAGTGTGCATTCCACAAAGAGATACGCGTTTCTCAGGAAACCGTTTTAGTAGTTGCCACGTCAGTGTTTATTCTTTGAAGCAAAAATACTTGAAATGCCCACATCGTATCAGATGTAGAGGCTGGAAATGTATTTTTAATTTATTTCACAATTGGACAGCTTCAAATTTTTTTTATTATTTTGCTTGTACGTATTCCCATGTATTGGCCACATAATTTAGAGCATTGGTAAAATGAGTCGTCCCATTGTATATTAATTTTCTGCTACCAGTAGGTCCAATCCGCTGAAAGTAGTAGTCGAAATATTTACACCTGTTAAAATTATTGGACGTGATCACATTCCTTGCTACGGATACTTTTCCTGACTTATTTATGTTGGATTAGGCGGCAAGAACTTAGCTGGATCAAATGTTCCCGCTTACATGTCTTAATCCTGAACTTTCACAACCCAAATTAGTCTGTGGGCACATTCTACGGTTACAACCGCCCGGAAATGGTGCAGTCCAATGGTTGCTCCCAGGGAACAGAGGCCCATCGTCTTTGCAATTGTCTAGTTATTAATAATTGTGTAGTGTTCAGATATTCTTTGAATTCTCAAGATTTCGATGTCTTTCCCAGTATTTATGACTTTGAAATTCAGGTCACTTCAGCCGTACGCTTTTCAGAAACGTTGGCATCTACGGGCGAGTCCACGTGGGGCAAACAACCCAAACGAACATTATGAAAATCTTAACCGTCTTGATAACATTAAATCTCACTCAGCTTAATTCATTTACATAGTGCTGTCGTTTCGTTCTCAATAATTCAATTCAATTAATTTATTTACGTGTTTGCCAACAGCAAGAAGCCAATAACAGGCAAACACTGGTAATACATACAATAATAGTGAAATA